GTTTCGTGCGTGTGTGCCAGGTCTGGTGGTGATATAAAATGTATTGCTTACTATGTGCCATGCTAATTAAGTTTGAAAACAACCAATCCAAGGTGCTGTCAGCCCTAATCTCAGAAGGGGAGCAGTGATGCAGTTAACCTAAACATTAGTTTTAGTCTTTTCTTTGAAATATGTGACAGTGTTTATTGCAGCAAATTAGATTCCTAATTATTTGTTTTCACCTAATATCAACACAATCAGTAGCATCCTGAAAATACGGGGAGGAAATGTTTTATAAAAGTTAAGAGATTCAGAGCATCAACTGCTCAGATTGACCTAGGGTCAGATCCCAGCTGTACTGGTTATTGGTGTGTGACCTGGAACAAGATACTGCTTCTTTCTAAACCTCAGTGTCCTGATTTGTAAAGCGGGAGTTACCGTAACACCAGCCCCATAAGGCTGGTTGATGTTCAGACAAGCTAGCACAAGTGGAAGTGTTGACATAGTGCCTGGCCCAGATTGAGTACTCACTGAAAGTTAGCTATTATTAAGACCTAATGGAGGTCTCCAGGATAATGCTTGTCACCAGAGGTAAACCCGCATAAGATGGATAATCCAAAAAGGTGGGAAGTTGAAAATTAGTTAATAAAGTTGTAAAGAAATGGACACTGGATTCAGATGGACTTTTTATATCATTTGGCCATTGTTTTGTGATTGCTCCCCAATCGTTCTCCGATTGCTAGACAGGTAATTTAGATGATCTTGTTCAATGAACCAAATGCCCTTCTGTTGTCTTGTCTTATTTAATATTAAGCTGGTATCTCTCTTATCAGGCAACTGAAAGATATTTCCCACAGTGATTTTGGGTTTTGTTAGCTCTTATTCAACACCGCAGTCAGCCTGAGAGACTGACTGACTACAGCTCTGAACTCATTTTGACAGTGTGTTTATCTCTGCAGCTGGTCCAGATCTCAGGTGTGCAAGAAATAGTCCTAATAAAAAAGCACAACTTTACTTCTGTTTTGAGACGGTTGTGCTGAACTCATCTCAGGCAGTTCAGAGAGCTCTGTTCACTGCCTGGGATCGGCTTATGCAGTTTTGGTTATATGTTATGTAAACTAAGGAAATAAGAGTGTAAGCATTGCCTTTTTCTAAATAGCAATGTTATTTTTATGAAAAGTAAATGGAATGCTTTAGATTCAAAAAAGGCTGTTGCAGAAGTACTGAATTGGGTGTGACACCTGTAAAAGGCTGGGGAAATCTTACACATTTGTCTTAATACTGCTCCCAGTTTTGAAAATGTCTTTAGGTTCTTATTCTGTTTTAGAGGAACCACAATGGAAACTTGTTGAGGGTAAATTATGATGTGGTTTATGAAAATATGAAAAAAATACGACTTGGAACTCTAGCTGTCATATCCACAAAAAACCCTCAATGAAAGAAATAAGCCTAACTTGACCTCGAATCAAACATATATACATTTAGATGTTATAAGTTAGATAAAATGTTAAGGTTTTGCGTGTATGTATTTTTAAAATCATTGACTAATTTTTAAAAAGTTAACTCACCAACTACTGGGTCTTATCTTGTCAAATAGGGCTTTTATCTTACACTGACAAAATGAAATACTGTGCAATCATTAAACATTCTGTTTTGGAATTATATATACTGTCATATAGAGGTGCTCGTCATTTATGGCTAAGTGAGAGAGGAGGCTATAGAATAGAATGTATAGAATCATTCTGTTTTTGTAAAAACATGTTTAGAACAAGGAAGAATATATGAGAAATGTTAATGATGGGTAATGGGATTATGGCTGATTTTTATGCTGTTTATTTCTCTGTTTTTATAATTCTACTATAATAAGTATATTTTACTTTCATGACAAAAATTAATAAAAGTCATTTTTTAAAGAAAAGATTAGTGCGTGTTTTCCTGATTTATAAGCATAAATGAGACTAAGTCTTTGCTCTGAGGGGTGCTGACTCTTTGAACTTGGATATTTGGGGTATTAACTAATTCTTCAGTATTCTAGGAGATGGTGCTGAATTAACAGTTATATTCCTTGCCCTGTGAAAAGCATCTTTGAGTGGGAAAGAGCCATTGTTCCAGAATTTTCTCAAAGCACTCTGAGTATACTTTCCAAAAAATTTCCACACTGCCTAAAGACATGGTCTAAATTCTTTAGTCTGCTTTTAAATCCTATAGTGTTGAAACTCAGACTGCTTTTCCTGCTTTCTTGCCGCTTCAGTTCTTAGACGACACCTTGGCTCTAGCTGGACTTGTCATCTTCCTGTCTCCACATGTACCATGTGCTTTCCTGCTTTTGTACTTTCGCGTCTTTGTTACTTGGAATATCTTTTCCTGACCTCTGTGTAAGCCAGTCCTACCCATTTTCCAATGTCCAGTTAAAAAACCGTATCAACTGTGACGGCCTTGGCCTCTCCAGCTAAAACCGAATTTTGTGACTGAACCCATTAGCCCTTATTATTTGTGCTTAGGCATTTCTTGGATACCGCCTGGTATTTTTGCATTAATTTCCCAGTTCCATTTTAAACTTCTTGAGAGCAAGAAAGCTTGCCTTATATTTCTGTCTATCCCTTAAAGCTTCCAGCATGGAACTCTATACAGGGTAGTTGCTAAATATTTGTTCCTTGATTATGCAGTGGTTTCACCAGCTCTTTTGAATTCAAGTGTTGGAGTTTTTTGTTAACAAGTGATCCTGAATAAGGGTCACTGCCCACAACAATGTGGAAGAATAAAAAATTGATAATTTCACTTAATTGTCAATTGATATAGATAGGTGATAAAGAACTGATGGTATTTTTCATTAAAACTAATACGGGAGCTAAGAGTTGTGTGGTTAGTCCAGGACCGCAACTTAATTTCACATAAATATTCCTTTTAAAAGTTTCTCATGAAGCTCCTTTTGGGTTTGACAATGTTTGTTCTTAACCTTACCAGAGGCACAGTGGTGCCTTACATTCTTTTACAGCTGCTGTTTCGGAACCCAGCGATATGGAGTGTTTGACTGTGGGTTATATGGCCATCATAGTCACTCTGTTCCAGAACCTCTTAGGAGGTCATGTAGGGTTCAGTGAGTCATAGTATGTAACGTGCTTTGTGTTCAAAAGTTAATATTTTTCTTCTGTTATTGGAAACATAATTGTGTCGCTTTCCAAACTTAAATATGACTTAGAGGTACCTATTTGGCCAATGTTAGACACTTACGGGGCTTATCTTTAAAAAAAGATTTTTTTTTTAAATTTACAGGTATTTGCCAAGACTAATGTAGCTGATGAAATACCTGCCATTTTCTGCTCAAGGTAAATGATTTGTTACTTTATAAAAATACTGGGTACCAGTAGAATTCAGAGTTTGTATAAAAAGACCCATTTAGTCACGCAAAGTAACATAATCCCAGACTACAAAGAAATGATGGCTTTAATAAGTGAGGAGTTTATTAGGACATAAAAAATGATGACATATTGTTGGTTCAACCTGTATCAGAATCACCTTGGAGCATTTTAAATATGCACAATATGCATGTGCCTGGCTCCCCACCAGGGGATTTTGATTCCATAAGTTTTTCAGGTGGGGTCCTAGCATGTGAATTTTTAAAAATGTCAACAGGTGTCTACGAGTCATGGTAACTCAGTGTCATTGTGGCGTGTATGTGACACTAGAGACGATGGAAGTGGCAAGTAATAATGCCATGAGAGTTAAAGGCCATAAGGGTTAAAGATCAAAAAAAATTTGAAGTATTTAAATTTTGTGTGTGTTTGATGTTACACTCATACTTTTATTTTGCCTTTCATTCAATGAATGTTTTAGTTATTTTTAAATTTTCAGGGTTTAGGTTTAAATTCGAGGGTTCTCTTAGCCTGAAAATTGCCATACTTATAAATACAACTTAAAATAAAGCTTTGTTTCATTTTGTTGCTTCAGGTTAATAAATGAAGTAAGTTAATGGAAAAAAGACCAAATCGTAAGTAGGTAATTTCTTATATATTGTTTATTTCAGAGGCTGGTTTAATTGATTTATTTTCCCCTTTAAGTGTGAGAAGATAGGGAATCAAAGTTTCTCATAATCGAAAGTAATAGGAAAGTGAATGTTATGATAGCATTTTGATTAGATGAAGCTTTTCTATTCTCATCTTATTGGTTTTAAGGCTGTGAAATGATTTCATTTTTTAAACATTGATTTTAATAAGAAAACTTTTTCTGTTGCGGGATAATCTTCTTATCAGAAATACTCATAACATTATAGGATCATTCTGTTATATATTTTCAAACAGACAAGAATGTTTAAAATGATTAGAATTAAACACTTGATGAAATTATGTCTTAAATTCTATTTTCACTCTAGCAAAACACAGCAAAAAAACTGCATTGTATTTTAGAGGCTAAATTAGTTGTCATTTTGATTTGTAGCAACTTGGACAAATTATTTTAAAAGCTGCCTCTTTGTGGACTAAGCAGAAAATCCATGTGGTACGTTTACTCTCATGACAGGGGATTAGACATTATATATGACACTGGGAGTTCAAGTAACCTGGGATTTTGTATAGATACATGATGGGAAAATGAATGAGCCTCATCGGAGTATAGAAAATATGCTCTAGTAACAACTTAGAAGTAGTAATTTGTCTTTACAAATTGAGTACTGTATTTGTCAATAGCGAATCAATTCCTAATAACTCTAACAAGTTATCAGAAAATTGATAAAAACTTTAGTCATCTGGGCTTCAGTATTGGCAACAAGCTGCTCTTTTAGAAGATGCATAGCTCTCTTCTCTGCTTCAGGATCACTGGCTGATTCACCAGGTCATGGCAGCCTTATCGGTTTTCACAATTATTAGACATAAGATTGGGTAGGACTTGGGAATGAATTTCTGTTCTCTGATACTATCAAAGCTGTTTTCCTTATAGTAGTAAAGAATTGTTGTGATCGTGACATTTTTCTCTTTTTTCAGTTGGAGTGTTCAAGGACAACAGCCATCTGGCTTTAGTTATTCAGTATGCAGAACCGACCAGGGTATTGCAGCTATTGCTGTGTGCACTATGATAACCTGGAGCAGGTAAGAGGATCCTCTTAATAAGGTTATCTCGAAAGACTTAGTCGTAACTTTCTCTTCTTTTATGTTTTGTTAAATTCATGTATTCATTCATTGAACAGATGATAGTGAGAATCTACTAGTGTGCAGACACTCTTTAAGGTTCTAGGGATATGACCATGAACAAAATCGGGTAGCTTTATTCACAAAGCTTACATTATAGTGCAGTAAGACAGAAAATAAATAGTCACAGAAACTTTACATAAGATGTTAGATTGTAATAAATGTTATGAGGAAAATAAAATATGAAAGGGAGCGCAGTTTTAGGTAGAGTGGTCACGTAAGGTTAAGGAAGTGATGTTTGAGTTGAGATTTGAGTAAAGGGTGGGAGCCAGGCTTGCTTATCTCTGGGTGAAGAATTTCTAGGAGGAGGGAAGAGAGAGCAAGCACAGAGACCCTGAGGTGGAAGGTGGTAGGCACGCTACCCGAAAACCAGGAGGCCAATGCGGCTGTAGTGGAGGTAGGGTGGGGGGTGGGTGTTAAGTGATAGGTAAACAATTCAGAGAATTAGGTTGTGTAAGACGTTGTAGGATAAGGTAAGGACTTTGAATTTATGCCTTGATGCATAAAAGTTTTAAATTTTGCTAGAGTTGATAGCTTTTTTTTCATTTTGTTGCTTGTGATTTTGGTGCCATAAAGATTGCCTAATCCAAGGTCATGAAGATGTATCCCCATGTTTTTTCTCTAAGAGTTTTATAGTTTTAGCTCTTACATTTAGGTCTTTGATTCACTTTGAGTTATTTTTTGTATATAGTGTGTTTAATTGGCTCCTAAAGCCGTATTTCCGAATACAGTCACATTGGGGGTTAGAACTTCAGCCTAGGAATCTGAGGGGGACCTAGTGCAGTCTATAGCAATTACATTGATTGGGTTTTAGATGTTAAACCAGTTTGCATTCCTGGGATAAATTCCACTTGGTCGTGGTGTATAGTCTTTTTTGTGTGTTGCTGGATTTGGTTTGCTAGTATTTTCTTGAGGGTTTTTTCATCCATATTCATAAAGTGTATTGTCTGTAGCTTTCTTTTCTTGTGATGTCTTTGTCTGGTTTTGGTATCAGGGTAACATAACACTGGCTTCATAGAATGAATTGAATAATGTTCCTTTCTCTTCTTTTTGTTGGAAGAGTTTGTGAAGCATTGTGTATGGAGACTTTTAAATAACTGTTCATGGTAATAGTAGCTGCAGTTTTATGACCAGGATTGTTAACTTAGAAGAGTGTCTAGTTTGTCTTCAGGGTCTAAGCTGTGGAAATGAAGGAATGAAGAGCAGTGCAAGGTAAATAAGTGGGCATTCTAGATGAATGATATCTTGTGGGATTCACAGCAATGGCATGTAAGTTGGAAGGGGAGTAAATTGAATTCATTCCTAAGGACCTTGCACTGTTCAAGAAGAGAGTAAAAGTAACAGGTAATTTTAGACTTGGATAGGTCAGGGTTGCTTGTTATAATCTGTTACCACTAGGAAAAGAGTCTTTAACTAACTACCAAGTTAACAGAGAGAGGAAAATTGGAGTAATAAAAAATAGTCCACAAGAAGGCAAGAAAGAAGAGAAATAGGAACATTGTATAGGCAAGAGTAATAAAAACAGATTTAACAATAAAAGCAAAGATTAAATCCAAATTATCAGTAATATATTAAGTGAAAGTAGACTTGCTGCTTGAATTAAACTGTATTCAGTATTTTGTCAGTGGTCCTAGTCAAGGAAATAAGGAAAGAAAAAGAAATGAAAATGATAAAGATTAGATAAGAAGAATTAAAACTATTCTTGTTTGTAGACAATGTGATTGTGGACATAGAAAATCCTAAAGATATCTAGAGAAACTGTTAGAATTGATAAGTGAGATTAAAAAGCTTGTTGAGGGGCCGACCCCATGGCTTAGTGGTTAGGTTTGGCAGGCTCTGCTTCTCCTGCCTGGGTTCATGGGTGTGGATCCCGGGCAGGGACCTACATCCTTCATCGGCGGCCACACTTTGGTGGCAACCCACATACAAAATAGAGGAAGATTGGCATAGATGTTAGCTTGGCGAATCTTCCTCAAGCAAAAGAAAGAAATAAATAAAAGAATAAAAATAAAAAGATTGTTGGGCCAAAATAAAAAGAAATTGTGAGGCTGGCCTGGTGGTGTAGTGGTTAAGTTCACATGCTCTGCTTTGGTGGCCCAGGGTTCATGGTTTCAGATCCCAGGCACGGACCTGCACACTGCTCAGCAAGCCATGCTGTGGCGGCAACCCACATACAAAATAGAGGAAGATAGGCACAGGTGTTAGCTCAGGGCCAATCTTCCTCACCAAAAGAGAAAAAAAGAAATTGTATTTTTAGATACAAACACTACATAGAAAATGATATTTTAAAAAGAGATTTACGACAGCATCAACTCCTAAGGAATAAATATAACAAAATATGTATAAGATCTTTATACAGAAAACTATAAACATTGAGAGAAATTTTAAGAAAAATTAAATAATTGATGGAAATACCGTGTTTATGGATAGGAAAAAACCAATGTTGTAAACATGTCGATTCTGCCCAAACTGATATGTTCATTCAATGAAATTCCAATCAAAATTGTAGCAAAGTTTTTTTAAATGAAGATTAAGCCAATTCTAAAAATATATATGGACATGCAAAAGGCTGAGAAGAACCAGGATAATCTTAAAGAAGAACAAAGCCAGAGGACTTACTGTACCAGATGTCAAAACTTATTATTAAAGGGTGCAGAGTTAGAAAGATCATGGAGACAAACCAGAAACTCCAGAAACAGACACATATATGGATATTTGATTTGTGACAAAGGTGGCACTGAAGAGTGGTGAGGACAAGACTTTCTTCAGTAAATGATACTGGATCAATCGGATATCCACTCGTGGAAAAAAATGAACCTTTATTGCTAATCATCCTGGATATAAAAATCAGTTCCAAGTGGATTGTAGATGTAAATATTGTAGGTAAAACAATAAAGGTTCTAGAAACAAGTAGGAGACAATGTTCATGAGTTTGAGGTGGACAGAGATTTCTTAAACTGGTCACAAAAAACACTGACAGAGGAAAAAATTGGTAAACTGAACTGCAGTAAAATTAAGAAACAAAGGAAGTTGATTAAGAAAGTGAAAAAGTATGCTGTAACTATTCCTAGGCACCAATAAACTTTATTTATGAACACCAAAAAAAAAAAAAGTGAAAAGGCAAGCCACAGAGAGGAAGATGATACTTGAAACACATGTAATTGAACACAGAGCTTGTGTCCAGAATAAATAAAGGATTCCTACAATTAAAAAAAAGAGAACATCCATTTGAAAACGGGAAGATACTTGAACAGACACATCATGAAACAGGATATTCAGGTGGCCAGTGAATATGAAAAGCTATCACAATAATCGCAAATTAAATCCGCAGTGATGTGACATTAAACCCCCTTTACAGTAGCTAAAATTATGGAGACTGACAGTGGGAAGTGTTGATGAGGAAGCAGAGCAGTGGAAGCTAGGGTGTAAATTGGTGCAGCCACTTTGGAGGACTAGTCTGCTGTGCCTGCTAAAGCTGAACACGTGCAAACCTTTGACCCAGGAGTGCCACTCCTAGTAGTATACTCAACAAAAATGCATGCATGTGAGCACTAAGAGACACATGCAGGAAGGTTCTTTGCAGCATTAGTAGTCGTAGCCAAAAGCTGCAAGTGACACAAATGTCCATCAAGAGTAGAATGAATAAATAAAATATGGTATATTCATACAGTGGAATACTATACAGAAATGAAGATGAACAGACTATAGCTGATATGGATGAGTATCACAAATAAAATGTTGAGTGAAAGAAGCTGAAGGCAAAAGAAAACATAATGTCTGACTCTGTTGCCGAGCAAGAGCTCTCTCCCTGACGCACATAGAAGCCCAATACTATGACACCAGCTTTGAGAAAAGAAAAAGCTTTATTGCAAGGTTGACTGGCAAGGAGACAGGAGGCAAGGCTCAAATCTGTCTCCTCGCTCCAGGGTTTGGGTTGAAATTTAAGGAACTAGAGACAGAAGCTGATTGGCTAGTCTCGAATCAGTCCATATATGGTAGTCAAGCTGCTGGAAGCCAGATTTTCCTTATTGAAGGAACTTCTCGCTTCATAAAGGGCTCAGGTGGCAACATTTCAGAAGATTCGTGGTTCCCGGGTCATCCTAGGGCTATGGCTTCCCGCCTGGCACCTAACAGTGGTATCTGTGTTATTGAGCAAGATTTGATTAATCAACCACCTGTTTTAAGGAAGCAAAACTAGTTTAAGCTGGTCAATGTTTTATGTGATGTTTCAACTCCATTTATATAAATTCAAAAACTTTCAAAACTAATCTATAGTATTACAAAGTAGAGTGATGGTTACTTTGGGGGAAGAGGGAAGGAATACTAGTTGATAATGGGGCGTTAGAGGGCCTCTGGGTGCTTATTCATTTTTCCTGGAGAGGAGCTTCTGGGTATGTTCACTTGGTGATAATTTATTGAGCTGTATACATATGACTTGTGTACTTTTCTGTATGTTATATGTCAATTCAAAAAATTTAAAGAAACTGACTCCTTCTTCTGGGATATGTGGTGTGGTGTTGACTGTGATTTGTGTAAGCGCAGTTCTCCATTCGCATTGCTTTTTTTTATTTTTACCCAGGCAGAGAGGACAATGGATTTTAATTGAACCCTTAGTTGTTCCCTTGTGCATTTGTCCCCTTCATCACGGGCGGGCCGGCTCTGGTGATGGGTACTGGATGGTGGGCAGTTTTGTGGCCAGAGGATCCTGAGACTTTCGTAATTTAGGTTGTTCCTGGGGCTAAGGCGTCACCAGAGGGGACCCTGAAGTCACCATGGAAGGAAGTAATTCCAAGAGTTGGAAAAGTGCTCAGGAGCTAGCAGCCTGTTTTAAGTTCTTTTGACACCTTTACTATGGTGTTTAAAACATGGCTTTTCCCAAGTATTATTAAATTAAAACATGTCATTAAATTGTAAATAACTTGGTAGAAATCCGGCATTAGCACCACGTGATACAGCGAGAAGAGAATGAGCTTCAGTCAGACTCAGATGGAAATCGTGGCTCTGGTACTTGCTAGGTACACAGCTTTGGGCACTTCACTCACATCCTTTGTGTTTTAATCTCTTCATATCAAAATGGGGACAAGATTCATACTCAGTGAAAACTCGATGCACTTGCTGTGTACACGGAACAGCACTGGGTTTGATGTGGTGCTGGTGCTCAGCACACGTGAGACTTCTCTCCTGTCCCTCCTGGTCGTGCACCGAATAATACCAGTAAAGGCAGAGTCTTTCTCACTGTAGAGAGAATTACAAAAAGTTACAGATGGTGGAGAGAATTTCAGAAAATTTTAGTGTATTTATTCCAATATTCTGTTTAAGGCAGAATTTTAAATTTCTGAAGGAAGATGATGGCCTCTTTGTGAATTAATCTTTCGCTTTTTAAAATAAGTGATCCAACCCTCTTCTCTCTTTTAACATTATTATTATGAAAGACGTTTGCTCACTGAAAAATATAAGAATTTATAAGAAAAATTTAAAAATTACTCATAGTCATACCACGCAGATGTAAATGCTTTTAAGATTGTGGTGTATTCTCTTGCATCTGCTTGTCTCTGCGTTTTTAAGCTGTAGTTTGAGATGAAAGTGCATATGTGATTTTTGCATCCCCCTTTCTCTTAAAATGCAGCATTTCTCCATGTTATTAAAAATTGTTTGTATTATTTTAGGTGGCTGCATAGTATTACAGCTTAGGGCATGCTATAATTTAAGGATTTTCCTGTTAGACACTTAGGAGATTTCCAGGTTTTGTTATCATGCTGTGGTAAGCATCATTTTTTTTGCATAAATCACCCACATTTAAGATGATTTCCTCAGGAGAGATTTAGAGAAAGGTAATGATTATATCTAAGGGAAAGATACGTTCATAGTTTTTAGATGCGTATTTTAGAAATGTTTTATAGAGAGGGTATATCAATTTATACTTCCACTGGGAGCACATAAATAAATCCATTTTGTGAAACTCTCACTACTGATGAGTATTACCCATTTGAAAATGTTCCGTTTCTTTTTTCTTCATAGCACGTTTCCAGCGCTCAGCACAGATACTTGACTGCACAGAACAGACAGCGGAGGGGCACCATGAGTTTGATGGAGCGTTTCTTGCAGGATGTACTGTGGCATCACCCATATCATTATCAAGAAAGCAGGTAAAACACTGAACAGAAGAATGTTACGTAGTTATGTGTATGTAACCTGGTTGTACGTTACAGTAGATGTTTGTGTTAACATTCCATTACTTCTTAAAGTGTATCTTCGAATCAAGGAATACAAAGTGAAATTTTATCTAGTAACTTCCTTTTGCAATATTTTTTTAGTTTTTCTAGCTTAAGTAAGAAATTTCGCTGTAAATACATGACATACAATTTATATACATACACACCAGTAGCATATGAGAGTGCTCACTTCCTGTCACTCTCGCCAACACTCCTCTTTCCCCCCACCCTAATATAATAGGCCACAAAAGTGATCGCTTAACTGACTTTTCTTCATGAGTAAAACAGAACTTCTCTCTCTCTATATTTATGAGCCATATATTTATCCTATGAGTTGTTTGTTCCTATACTTTGCCTATTTTTCTATTGAATTGTTTGTATATTTTGGATTTGTATGCAATATTTGTGGATAATGTCCTTTGTACTTTAAATATGTTGTAAATATTTTCTCAGAATCTGTCATATGTCTTTCAACTGTGTAGGTATCTTTTACCATGTAGAAATGAAACATTGTGACATAATCAGATCTAAGGGGGATTATCCTTTATGGCTTCTTTCATGTCTTTTTCTTCATGCCCTTGTTTCTTCTTTTAAATATTTTTAATCTTCCTGGAATTTGTTTTTATATGTGGTGTGAGGCAGGACTTCTACTTATTTTTTTATAAATGTATATTAATTATCTCCATTGGTATAAAATGTCACCTATAACATAAACTGAATTCCTATATTTGTATATGTGTATCTGTATCTCTATTTATATCTATATTTCTGATTTGGAATCTGTGTTCTTTCCTTGAATTTTTTTAATCCCATACCAGCACCACGTTATTTATGTTTATAAGCTTTCTAACGTATAGAGTTTATTTTTTTATTTCTTCTCTCTTCCCCCGTTATCTAAACATTGTAGGTTTTTCTGTTATTTTAGCCTTCTTGAAAATCAACTCTTGCTTTATTTTTGTTTCCCATTTATTGGTTTTTCTTTTTTTTAATTTATTTCTTCAACTTTCTTGTGGGGGGGGCATTAGGTTATTTTTCTGTCTTCTTGAATTAGATGCTCATTTGGTTAATTTATGTTTACTAATTCTTTTTTTAATGGAAGATTTAAAAATGTGAATTTTCCATTTTGATCACATCTCATAGATTTTTGATATATAGTTGTTTTCTTTTATTTCTAGATAGTTTAAAAATTTTTCCTTTTTAGCACAAGAGTTATATAAAAGAATGGTTTTTAACCTTTAGTGGTTAGATTTTTGGAGAGCTTTTTTTTTTGTTGTAAAATTAGTTTAAAATGAGTAGAAATATAGATTGTGATTTGGTTGTTAATTTTAAACACACACAAATACCAGTGCAAATCAAAGCATCTAGATAGTGATTCCTAGCCTTTTTGGAATTGCCAACTTGTTTGATTTAATGATTCTACCTTGCTTTTTCTTTTCTTTTCTTCCTTTCTTTTCTTTGCCAAATATTCCAAAATTAGTTTTATTTTGAGAATGTTGTAATAGTCTTTAAGACAAATGGAGATAGGCTTCTAAGGTTCTGAAAGACTAGGGTAAAGTGATTATTGTACTGCAGTTTTATTGATTAGAGTTCAGAAGTATGAAAAATTATGGAATTTTTTTGCACTATCACAGTGTTATCTTGATACCCCATCATGATATTAACTTTTTTATTTTACAAATACCAAAAAATACTATCTTAATATTATATACGATAATAAATTTTTATGGGAAAGGAAGTAATATTTATGACATATTAAAAAAAGTTGCATGTGCCCGACACATGTATGCATGTCCTCTTAGACAAGTATGGCATCTCTCAAAGTGAAAAATTTTTAACAAAGGTATTGTTTAGGTGTTAATGTATTTAAACATTTTTTATTTATTATTTTTAAATAGACTGTTTTTTAGGGCAGTTTTAAATTTACTGAACAGTTGATAAGATAGTACAGAGAGTTCCCATATACCTGCTCATCCCTGTTCGTAACACCCCACATTCGTGTGGTACATTTGTTACAATGAATGGACCAATGTTAATACATTAACTAAATTCTGTGGTTTATTCAGAATGTCTTAGTTTTTACCTAACATCTTTTTAGCGTCAGGATCCCATCCGGGATAACCATGTTACATTAACTTGTCATGTCTCTTTAGACTCTTCTTGGCATTTTTAATTTTAATAGACATTGCCAAATTGTCTTCATAGAGATTAAACTAATCTACACTCCTACCAACAATGTATTAAAGTGCCTGTGACATTACACCCTTGCCAAAACAATGAGTTAAAATAATAATAGCTAACAGTTGTGAATGATTACTATTTTCCAAGCTTTTTTTTTTTAATGCTCTTTACATATAACAACTAATTTACTCCTGAAAACAATCTCATGAGGGAAAATAGTATTATTTCCTTTTTTGGAGGAGGAAACTGAAGCCTGGAAGGCTAAGTAACTTGTGTTAAACTTTTTTTTTTTAAATTTTTTTGTGAGGAAGATCAGCCCTGAGCTAACATCCCTGCCAATCCTCCTCTTTTTGCTGAGGAAGACTGGCCCTGAGCTAACATTTATTGCCAATCCTCCTCCCTTTTTTCCTCCAAATCCCCAGTAGATAGTTGTATGTCATAGTTGCACATCCTTCTAGTTGCTGTATGTGGGACGCCGCCTCAGCACGGCTGGACAAGTGGTGCGTTGGTGCGCGCCCGGGATCCGAAACCGGGCCACCAGTAGTGGAGTGTGCGCACTTAACCGCTAAGCCATGGGCCGGCCCCTTGTGTTACACTTTTTGCTATTTCCCACTCCAATACCTGAAAAAGGATACCTTTTTTATTCACATTTTTCTCGTGTTTAGGAGCCCTTGTGTTTACAAGTAGCGATTGGTGGAGCTACCTCTGTCCTCTGCACTGGTGACCTCCCTGAAAGACGCACAATGTACAGCCTGCTGTGATGGCCTTGCTCCTTTGTCCTCTAAGGATCTGGCCCAGGATAGAAAGAAAATAACATTTATTATGCCTTTATTTTAACATTTTAAACAGATATTAGAATATTTTTATGGATTTTTCCCCTTGCTTTTTAGATCAATGCAAAGTGAGAGACTTGTTATGACTACTGCATCACCTCTTGAAGTGGTTCCTGTTGATGATTTTATTCCTGAAGAAATGACTGAGGATGCTACTGGAGTCAGAGGAGAGATATCCACCAAGAGTTTTGGACCTACTGAAAAGTTGTATTCTAGACCTAGTAAATCTCAGGAATATATACAGGGTGTTTCAATTCGACCATCCGTTATTCAAAAACTGGAGAAGGGACAGCAGCAGCCCTTGGAGTTTGTTCATAAAATCGGGCACAGTAGGAAAGAATTGAATCCAGTAGGCATTGGTCAAGCTACAAACGATGGGCGAAACTTAGTCTCAGTGATTTCTAATGCTTCTACTAGTCGTTTACTTGGGAGTTCTCATGATAGACCAGTTACTATGACTAAGTTACCACCAGCAGCCCTTTTGGATTCAGTTAGCAAACATGATCCAAACAACTTTGCCAGATATCTTGAACCACTGGACAGGGGCTCTAGAAATCCTTTGCTGTCATCCCATCTAGAAACTTCTGCAGTTTCATATCAGAAAACTAAAGAATCAAACAAGAAATCTTTATATATAAATTCAGATAAATTGGTCATAAAGGAAGATGTAAAATCTCAGCGTGAAACTTTGTCAACTGGCTTTAAATTCCATGAGTTGATGGGTACTGAAGGCTCCTTAAAATTTGAATCTCTTTCCAAATTAGCAGTAAACCCAGCAATCAGCCTGAATAAAATTGATATGCCTTCTAATAAAGGAATCTTTGAAGATGCCATTCCAAAGTGCTGTGAGAGATTCTTTTCTAATATGGATTGTACCCAAGAAGAAAAGCATTTGGTTTTTAACAAGTCAGCCTTTTTGGAGCAGAGGAGCTCAGTGAGATCTGAAATGCAGTTTGACTGTGGCTCTGTTCAGTCAGTGTCTAGTCAACCCCAAGACGCTGTACGAGACCTTTGGAATGAGGAGCAGATTGAGCAAGAAGATCAGAACTGTGAATCGAGGGGTTCTGAAACAAGTGTTGATTGCAGTTCCTCTTTCCATTCACTGACTGACCAGTCGAAAGGGACTGCCAAAGAAACAAACCTTTCGAAGGAAGAGCATGCTGATTTGCAGTATAAGAATAATGAATCTTGTGTTTCTGAAATAAGTTCTGACTCTAGTGGCTCTCTTCACTTGACTACCAAGAGAACTCAAGTAATTGTTGAAGATACGTGTCTTCAGAAGGCAATGCATATTAGCTTGGTTGATGAAAGCTATGAATCTAGTGATTCTGAGATTAATTTTGATTGCAGTGCCTCACTTCAGTCAACTGATGACTGCCCGCAACAGCCTGCAAAGGAAATAAACCTTCTTAAGGAGGTACACGTGGGCTTGGTTGATAAGAACTATGGATCTAGTAGCTCTGAAATAAGTGCTGATTCTGTTTTCCCACTTCAATCAGTGGTTGACCAACTCCCCGCAGCTGTCAGAGAAACAAAACTTCGGAAGAAGGTTCACGTTGGCTTGGTGGATAAGAACTACGGATCGAGTTGTTCTGAAACAAGTTTTGATTGTGATATTTCTCTTCAGTCAGTAGTGGACCATCCCCAGCTGGCTGTCAAGGAAAGAAACCTAAAGGATAGGCGTGTTTGCCTGGGAGATAAGAACCATAAACCCAGTGGTGTCTCTCTAGAGACAGTGACTGATGAACCTCAGAGGGCTGTGGAAGAAATAAATCTTCTGAAAGAGAAAAATGACCTTGTGGATATGAACTGTGAATCTCATGGTCCTGAAATGGGTTTTCACACTGATGCTCAATTAGTGGCTGACCAATTGCAAGCAGCAATTAAAGAAGTGCACTCTCGAGAAGCAGCTGTTGACCAGGAGAATAAGAGTGTTAAATCCAGTGTTTCTGATCTAAGTTTTGATTCTCATGCTTCTCTTGATCAGTTAGCTAATGATCTATCTCAAGGGGCTCTGGGTGAAATAAATCTGAAAGAGTTAAATGTTGACATGGATGTTAAGAGCAATGGGTGCTCTAGTTCTGAGCTGACTTTTGATTCGGATCCCCCTCTGCTGTCAGTTACTGAGCATTCCGAGCTTGATGTTGAGGAAATAAGAAAAAAGCACATTCACCTGGGAGATGAGAGTTATGAGTCGAACAGTTCTGAAATAACTTTTGATTCTGATATTCCGTTTTGCTTAGTAGTTGACCAATCTCAAGTAGATGTTTATGAGGAGGAACCTATTCATCTGGAAAATAAGAGTAATGGCTCTTGTGTTTCTGAAATAACTTTTGATTCTGACATGCCTCTTCATTCAGGGACTGATCAACCTGAAGTAGCTGTTAAAGAAATAATCACTCAGAAAGAAGAGTATGTACAGTTAGAGAGGAAGAATGATGAACCCAGTAGTTATGAAATAAGTTTGGGTTCTTATGAGGCTCATTCAATGATTAGCCCTCGTCCAATGACTAGCCCTCCTGAAGTTGCTGTTAAAAAGCTAAATCTCCCTAAGGAAGAGCACGTACACTTAGAAAACAAGGGTGGTGGACCTAGTGTTGCTGAAATCAGTTTGAAATCTGATCTTTCCCGTCATTTAGTGATTGATCATCCTGACATAGCTCTTAAAGAAATAAACCAACAGAAAGAAGAACATGCAAACTTAGAAGATAAGGGTAATGAATTAAGTGTTTCTGAAACAATTTTGGATTCCAGTATCCCTCTTCAGTCAGTGACTCACAAACCTGAAGTAGTTGTTAAAGAAATGTGGCTTCAAAAAGAAAAGCATGCTAAATTCAAAGGTAAAAGTGCTGAATTTAGTGGTTCTGAAATAAATTTAGATTCTAATGTCTCTCACTATTCAGTGACTGAACCTCAAATAGCTGTTAAAGAAATAAATGTTCAGAAAGAAGAACATGTTGTTCTAGAAAAGAAGAGTGATAAATGTAGTGTTTCTGAAATAATTTTGGATTCTAATGTCCCTCCTCAGTCCATGACTGAAAAACCTCAAATAGCTGCTTTGAGGGAGGACCATGTTGACCCAGAAGGTGAAACTACTGAATCTAGAGGTTTTGAAATAAATTTGGGTATTGATGCCCCTCTTCATTCAGTCATTGACCGGCCTCAGCTCGCCCATTTGAAGGAAAAACATGTTGATGTGGAAGATACAAACAGTGAATCGAGTGACTATAAAATAAGTTTTGATTCTAATAACCCTGCTCTTCAGCCATTGACTGAACAATTTCAGGAAGCAGTTAAAAAAAAAAACCTGTGCAAGGAAGAGGATATTGGCCTGGAGAATAAGGTTGATGAACTTAATGGTTCTAAATTAGTACTCGATTCTGATGTTTCTTTTCAGCCTGTGGCTGCCCAACCTGAGGTAGCTATTAAAGGAATAAACCTTGAGGGTGAAGGTCATGCGTACTTAGAAGATAAGAATAGCCAATATAGTGGTTCTGAAATGAGTTTGGATTCTGATTTCTTGGTTCAGTCAATAATTGATCAATCTCAGATCACTATTTTGGAGCAGGAGCATATTGAATTAGAAGATAAGCACAGTGAATCTTGTGGTTCTGAAATAAGTTTTGACTCTGATGACCCTCTTCAGTCAGTGGCTGATCAGCTTAGAGATACTGTTCAAGAAATAAGCCTTTGTAAGGTTGAAGTTGATGTGAAAGGTAAGAGGGATGAATCTAAGGGTTTTGAAGTTATGTATGATTCTGGTGTCCCTTTTCAGTCAGTGGCTGGTGAAACTGAAGAGGTTGTTAAAGAGAGAGACCTTTGGAAGGAACATGTTGACTTGGAAGATAAGATTGTTCGACCTAGTGATTCTAAAATAAATTTTGATTCTGATGAACCTCTTCAGTCTGTGGCTAATGAAATTCAAGAGGTTATTACAGAAACAAATCCTCTGAGGGAGGAACATGTTTGTCTGGATGATAAGGGCAATGAACCCAATGATTCTGAAATAGTTTTTGTTTCAGATGTCCCTCTTCAATCAGTGGTTGAGCAGCTACACATTTTGGAAAAGGAACATGCCAATTTGGAAGAAAAGAGCAGTGATCCTTGTGATCCTGAAATAAGTTTTGATTTTGATGATCCTCTTCAGTCAGTGGCTGACCAGATTCAAAACGATGTTAAAGAAGTAAGTCTTTGGAAGGAAGACTGTATTTATCTGGAAGATAAGAGCTATAAACTAGGTGATTTTGAAGTAAATTATGGTTCTGATGTTCTTGTTCACTTCGTGGCTGATCAATCTCCTTTGGCTGTCAAAGAAATAAACTTGCAAAAGAGGGATCATAATGACTTAGAAAATAAGAACTGTGAACCTAGTGTTTCTGAAGTAAAATGTGATTCTGGTGTTCATCTTCGGTTAGAACTAGACCACCCACAAGTGGTTTGCAAAGAAAGAAACCTTCAGAAGGAAGAGTATCTTGGCCTAGAAGAAAAGATCAGTGAACCTAGTGATTCTGAGATAATGTGTGATTCTGATGTCCCTCTTCAGATAGTAGTTAACGACTTTCAAGTGTCAGTCAAAGAAACAAATCTCAAAAAGATGCTGTTGGTGGAGGTGGTGACCAGCGATAGTGATTGTGAAATGATTTCTGACTCTGACATCACTTTTCAGCCAGTGATCGACTCACCTCAAATGACTGTCAAAGAAATCAACTGTATCAATAGAGAGAGTTTTGATCCAGAAGGTGAGAGCTGTGATTCTTGTGATTGTGAGCTTGGATACGTTTGTGAAGCTTCTCCACGACTGGTGGCAAACCAACCCAAAGAGACTTTCAAAGTAGTAAACCAGAAGAAAGACTATATTATTCTGGAAGAGTCAAGCTGTGAGTGTTATGGTTCTGAAATAAATTTTCAAATTGATGCCTCTCATCAATCCATGACTTATCAATCACAAGAGCCTGATAAAAAAATGGCAAAATATATTGACCCAGAAGATAAGAGCTGTGGATCTAATAGTTCTAAAAGAAATTTTAAATGGGAAGACACTTCTCAATCAGTGACTCACCAACTGCAGAAAGCTGACAAAGAAGCCAGCCTTTGGAAAGATCTAGAAAATATTGGCCTAAAAAACAGGAACTGTGAATCGAGTGTTTCTGTGATGGATTGTAATGCCTCCCCTGAGTCAGTGATCCATCAAATGACTGATAAAGAAAACCTTTTGAAGTTGAGACATACAGATCTAGAAAGTGTAAGCTATGAGCCTTCTGGTTCTGGGATGCGTTTTCAGTGCGATCCTTCTCTTCAGTCTGACACTGAGCAGCCTCGAGAGGCTGTTAATAAGAGGCTGTCTTTTAACCTGAAGGAAGCGAGTCATGATTCCCATTCAGACTTTGTTCCCGTGGTTGATTCTGTAAGGAACTTGGAAGTGGCAAAAGGGGTTGTGGAAGATAATCCTGATGAACCAGTTCTTGAAGCCTTGCCTCATGTCCCTCCTTCATTTGTGGGGAAAACGTGGTCTCAGATAATGAGAGAAGATGACGTGAAAATTAACGCGCTCGTGAAGGAATTTAAGGAAGGCCGTTTCCACTGTTACTTCGATGATGACTGTGACACCAGGAAAATTAAAAAAAAAAATTTGAATGAAGGAAAAAAGATTGCCTGGGATGACCTCAGCGAGGACCCTGCATCAATTCAAGTTTTCTCAGATTGTGATGATAATGCAGGTGGTATTTTGGATATTGATAACTCTTCAGTAGCCTTAGATAAACCTGGTGTTCATTCTACAGCGAAGTTGCCTTATGAGCAAACCTGGCAAGTGGCTTCTCGATGCCAGGCTGTAAAACTCAGCCATGGAATGCAAACCAATCTTACGAGTCACCTAGGGGTAAAAAGAAAACTCATGAGACAGGATGCAGACTCGCCAGCAAAGAAGGACAGAAAGACAAAAAGGAAAGTAAAAATTGGAACAGTTGAATTTCCTGAATCATGTATTCAAGTTTTGAAGCCTTTGCAGCCCAGTGCCTTCGTCTGTGTTCTTTCTTCAAATATTAAGCGGAAGGAAGATGAATCCTTCAACTTATCTACAATGAGGCACCAAAGGGACGTAAATAATAAGAATATTAGCATACAGTACAAATATAAATGGAGTTCCTTTAGTTGTTATGACCCATTGAATAAGCAAATTGTAATTGATCCTGCTCTGAACATAGAAGTACCAGAGTCTGACAGGACTAACTGTGTTCAAATCCATTTGAGTGACCTACAGTCCAGTGTGGAAGATGGGGATGCTCCTGGACAAAGCTCTGCCTCAGCATCTTTTGTGTCAGGAAGACACGAATTAATGTCACATCAGGGGACCAGTGGATCTTCTGTGTTTCTGGAAAAACCAGAGATTTTGAATTCTAGTGAAGTTCCAGAGGAAAGTAATTTCCAATTAACTCTTTTAAATTGTGATGCTGCCAAAAGTGCTCCAAAATCAGTTAGAACTAAGTTTTTAGAAAGTAAAAAGAAAATTCAGAGAAGAAAAGTGACAACTAATAATAAGCCAGGTTTTCCCCAAAAGGCTTGTGAACCAATTATTCTCCAGCAAAGAAACAGAATCATTTCAGAACAACATTCAGTTTGGATTCGAACCAAACTAAATGATATAATTAGAAAGTATATTTTAAAATACTCTGTGTTTTTGCGTCACAAATATCAGTCCAGGAGCACTTTTATTAGAATGCATCTTAAGAAGAAAAAGTCTGATGTCAGTAGGTTAACGAAGGTGAAGAGACCAGCCCAGATGCTTTTGAACTCCTTGGTTCTGTCCACTGTTGCTGAGGAGCAGGTGAGAGCTATGGCGAGCTCTCCTCCCAAGCAACCTGTGCAGGATTCTTCCAGTGCTGTGGGAAGTAAGAGGAACGGTAATGAAAAACACACTGGAAGAAAAGGAAGAAAGCCTTCTAGACCGGTTAGAATATATGCTTTGAGGAGTTTATGTTCTCAGGTACCGTGTTATGAAAGAAGGAGGTGTTGGGTGTCAAACCAATAGTGAGGTAGTGAGGCCGACTGGAAGTGTTCGTGTTGAGGTGGTGGAGGACTCAGTACTTCAGGTGAAATGTGTTTGGTACTTAGTGCACATAGCTCTCCCAACTTTGGTGAAAAAATCAGCCTTCAACTATTTTGCTATAGACATTATTTTTCATAACTTTTATATTCATTTAAAATTAGTGTTTAAGATCTTTTTGTTAAAGATTCAAAAGCACCCTGTGTCCATTTGCTGTAGAAGAGCTTCATCTTAACTTATATCACATAATTTAGCACAGTATATATGATTTTCTCCCTCAAATCGTGTCCCTCTATTTAATTTTTATGATTGTATCTCTCATGTCAGCAGGTTATTATATTGCAAGAATGAAGATGACAAACACTAAATATTATCTTATTTTTACTTTTTAAAAATTGGAACAAATGAATATGTACTTCTATATTGTGTGTTTCAGAGTGGTATTGTCAATATCGTATTCTAACTGGATAATTAAAAAGAAGAAACTGTAATAAATTATCTCAACTTTTGAGTACGGTTAACTTAAATAATCACAAACAAAATATAATTTATCTTTCTTTTAAAAGCATTCCAGAGAATGAGATTCCATAACCTTTAATCCAGTTTTAGAAGCCGCCTGGTGATTTTATATACAGAACACAAACCCCTCCTGCTTTGTTTCGGTTAGATTTGCAGGTTTCTGACTTTGCTCCTGTGGACACGTACACCCGTACAATCTCCAAGGGGTTTTCTTGAGCCGACTTGACTAGATCACAGGGGGAACATGATCGTGCTGGTGCAGTGAGGCTCTTCCCCAGGCTCTGTGCCCCACTCTGGGAGGGTTGGTGGCTTACTATGAAAGTCTCAAGTTGTCTTATGGCCGTATCTCTTAAAAGTATTTTAGACATTACCATATCACTTTTTGATAGTTTGAACTGAAATTATTGGTTTGGTAATTTGGGTAGACTGTTAATTGTTATCAACAAATTATTTATAATCTTAATATTTCAAAAGATCTAATAAAATTAACAACCTAAGTGAAAGCCCATTTTGCAAGTGAAAACCTATGTATTTGCACATGAGTTTGGCTTTTCTTAAACTTGCTAATTAGTTCAAATACAAGATGTTAAGATGTGCAGTTTAGGTCTGAGGTCCTCAGAATCTGTTTGGATCTTTTATTCAGGGACACCAGTTGAGCTGGTACGGATGCATCCTATTATCCTGTTAAGCTAAGGATCCAGGATCCTTTTCTATCATTAATGTTAAAGGGAAACATGAATTTCAGCTACATTGTATAAACCATATTTTATTGAAACTGGATCAGTGTACCATAAATTCAGAGATAAAAATATGTTTCCATAGAATTAATGAAAAAATAGTGTAACAATTGGTTTCTAAATGTAGTTTTATTTCAGGGGCCATTATTTGACCTGTGGGTAAATGATGGTGTTATGTTGTAATTTCTTTACTTCCAAATTTAAAACAGTAATTATGTTGAAAAAAATGGGCAGATGTTTATATTTTTTAGTTGCAAAGCAACTTCAGCCTTGCCTCATATACAAACATATTTTAATTTCCTTTCTTAAAATATTGCTGTTTGCCACCAGTTTAAAATAATCCTCCACTTTTAACTAGGAAGAAGCCTGTCCTGCTGATTAGGGGGTAAATAAGCAGCTGATATATAAAGTATTTTATCTGTGGATAGTGGGGTCTTTTTTTCCTACGGAGTAGACACGTCATTCCCTTAAGTACTATTAGTAGGCATTCTTCACGCTTTTAGTGTAAGTTCAAAAGCAAGGATCATAAGGAAATAATGTCCTATGTAATTTTGATGTGTGCTGTCCATTGTGATTACATCATGCAGAGGACAGTTCTAATAAGTGATCAAAAACTTAAAGTTCAAAAAGTTGTACTACCTTTTTCACGTTGGAGACTCTTCTAAGTACCATTTTTTTTGAGAGGAAGAAGGTTTATATTTAAAACTTACATTACTAAAAATAATAAAAGTATAATACAGGGCTGATGAATTTTTTTTTAACATTCTGGAAATATTTGCTAAGTTTCTGTAGTCATTATTATTTTAGACAAGCTTGAAAACTTGAAATTGTAAAAATTATAATTTAAATTAAATTAGAAATGAATTACTTTCAGAATTTGGTAAGATACAAGATGTGCCACTTTGTCAAAATACATTTTGGCTTAATTTGCAGATTAAATAAAACAATTGGATGTTTTTTATGTGTTCAAGAATGCATTAAATTCTTTTAATAGTAAAAAATCAAATTACAATGACAATATTTTATTAATCTTGTTCTTGTTCAGTATCTTGCATAGATTTTTATTATAATTGTGCCAGGTTGTACAGTATGTGGACAGTATTGTGTAAAGTGTGTGTTGCATTTGTGCATTGAAATTATTTGTGTAGCAAGGGCTCTGAGTGACACTTTTTTTGGTAAAGAGAAACTATATTTAAATATTCAAACAATTATATGTTTCCATGTAAAATGAATGTGAAGACTAATGTATTTTTTATAATGCAATTTAAAGAGTAAATTTGTTTTCAAAGTTATCAAGATAAAATTTATCAAATATTGAAATTTGTCTACTTTCTCCTCATGTTAGGAACTTTTTCTGGGAATACCTAAGGAATCAGAGAATAATGAAAACAGAAGTTCATTTTATAGATGGCCTTAGAGATAATAAGTAAGAGAATATAAACGTTGCTGCTGTAATAAGAGAGTTTAACTGAACATACACAGGTTATGGTAGTAGAGTTGTCATCTCAAAGGATTACAGTTGGACAGCTCTTTGTCTGGTGGAGCGGTGGGTTAGCAGCTTTTCACTTTGTATTCCTCTACTGGAAGAGTCAGTGAACAGGATTGAGTTCAGGAGGCAGTATCTGTACGGTTATTTGACACCTGCTGGGAAGAGAGGACTTCAGTGCCTCCAGGCCCACAGTGTGTATCGTGAAGGAGAAGAAAACATGCAAGTGTACGTCAGTGGGATAGGTGCCTTGGGCCTCAGTACTGTTGACTTCTGGGGTTTTTTGGTCCAGGATTATATTGTTAAGATGAACAACAGTCTACTCTTCATAATAAAAAATTACTAGAGTAAAAATAAAAGATGAAAATCCATTTTAAATAAAAGACTTTATATATATAGAAAGAAAATGTGGAAAATATTGAAAAATCATGTAATAAGGGAATTACACATCAAAATGTCAATTTAAGAAGATGAGATGCTGAGAGTCTCAACATTTTCTTGTACTTTAGACCCTACATATTAGGGAAATAACTATATTTAGTAAGTTTCCTTTGTCCTTCTTACACTTCATATGTGTATTTTAAAAGTTCTCCCACAGTATTTTAAACTATTTACCTTGATTAAGGAATAGGTGTAGGATGAATTGCAGTTTGTTGCTGAATCTTTAAAGAAGTATGAACTTAAACTTTTTTCTGTGTTTATAATTGACTACATGCATGCTTTTTTTTTTACGTGCTTTTCTGAGTTTTTAAGCTGGACGTGTGTGTGTGTGTGTGTGTGTGTGTGTACGTCTTGAGCCATTACCAAGTGCTGGGTATTTTTCTAAGCTTTTAACCTGTATACCTCATTTGATCTTCAAAGAGCCCTTATGAACTAGGTACTGTAATTGTCGCTGAATAGCAGATGAGAAAATTGATCATAGAGCCTCAATTTTGGGGTTACAAATGAGTTGTTATTTACTGTGATCAAATGGGGATTACAGTTAACCCCCATTCCCATCCCCAGTCCCAGGTCACTGCTGATCTACTTTCTGTCTTTATTCTTTCACCTATTTATGGACATTTCATATAGATGGCGTCGTGCAATATGTGGTCTTTTGTGTCTGGCTTCTTTAAGTACTGTTATGTTTTTGAGGGTCATGTCACATGTATCAGTAGTTTGTTCTTTTATTTTGCTGAATAGTAGTTATAACTAGTTTTAAATGAAGCTGGTGACAGAACGCTGGTCTCCTAATAACTAATATGATAAAAGCCGTCAGGCTTGAGGCTGGCTGTTCCTTTATGTCTCTCATACCTGTTTTCCTTGATTTCTACCCCAATTCCAAGACCGACCGGCTGTCTGCCTTTTCAAGTGTTCTTATCCCATACTTGAATGCTTTATGCTGCCTCTGTCTCTGACTCTTATTCCCTTTGCTGCCCATCCTGGCATTTTTATCACCGTGCTTTGTGAATTCTCATTTTCAGTGTCAGCACACTACCCTGCATTCTCAGTCCTTTCACGATGGCTTCTTGCAGGTAACTGAATCGTATCCGGGTTGTCCATTATCCTAGTCTACCTGTGCTGTACAGCCACAAAGTGTTGATGGTGGTGCTGGTCATGGTGAACATTCTTTTTAGAGATGACTCTCCTACATGACCACAGGACACACCATCAAAACCAGGAAGTCAGCATTGATAGGCTGTAACCCTCCACTCCACAGACCTCGTTCAGATTGTGCAGCTTGTCCCAGCATCTTCTACAGGCCCAGCGTCACCCTCTCCTGACTCTTGAGTGTCTGTAGGTAGAGAAGCTCCTCAGCCTTTCTTTGTATTTAGTAACCTGACATTTTGAAGTGTACAAACCAGTTTCTTTGTGGAACGTCCCTCACTTTGAGTTTGTCTGATGTTTCTTTATAATTAATGCTTTTTTGTTGGGGGGAGGGGACAGAAATTCTGTGGACTTCCCAGTGTATCCTAACAGAAGCCATGTGACATCAGTTTGAATAAAAGTGGTGTTTGAAGTATCCAGTCTTCGTCCTTGTCTTAGAGGGAAAGCTTTTAATAATCTGAAGTGGGGGCTCTCAGAGAGGGTAATACTAAAATTTAGTTTTGTTTTTATTCTGGCACTTATCCTCATGTTTCACCATCTCACATGACCATCCAGTAGAAGTGAAGAAATGTTTCGGCTCCAAATGCTGCCTGGGGCTGCTACTGATTGCGCTGGGTAATTTGGGGTTACTATGACTTGTTTCTCAAAAGACCATCACACTTGTCATGCAACATTTTAGAACCTTATGTTACCCAGATGTCAGTTTGAATCATCCTTCCTCCCAATATTTTGAATAAATCCCAATTCCAAATCTGAGTATCCTCAATATTTTCACAGATCCCTGAGGAGGGGGAGTGAGGAAGACTTAAGTTTTTGCAGTCACCTCTGGCTCCTGTATCCTGCATTGGCTGAATTCTTGTTCCTTGTTCCAAACACTGAGGCTGATTCTTTATCTCTGTATTATGGGGTGCCAGACTTGGAACTCGACTCCTTCCCCTTTCCTCTGCATCAGTTCTGACTTTAGAGTCAAGTGATGAAAATCGAACCAGACGGGCTTTAGCAAAATAAGGACTATAGCTTCTGGAGCAGAGGTTCTCAAGCGTTTTGGACTCAGGACCTCTTTATGCTCTTAAAAACTATGACAGATGAGGATCCCCAAGAGCTTTTGTTTATGTGGGTTGTATCTATTGAGATTTATTGTGTTAGAAATTAAAGCTGAGAAGAGTTTAAAATATTTACTTATTAATTCAATTAAAAATAGCAATAATAATCCCACTACATGCTAACATAAGTAATACATTTTTAATGAAATATAACTATATTTTCAAAAACAAAGAAAATTAGAAGGGTGGCATTGTTTTACAATTTTTCAAATCTTTTTAGTGTTTGATTTAATGGAAGACAGATTCTCATATCTCCTTCTGCATTCAATCTGTGGCTTTGGTTGAATTATGAAGACAATTTGG